CCTGGCTGCAGGAATGTCCACCAGAGCTGTTGCCAGAGAATTGAATATTAATTTCTCCACCATAGGCCGAGGTTGCATCGTTTTAGAGAATTTGACAGTACGTCCAACCGACCTCACAACCGCAGACCACGTGTAACAACGCCAGTCCAGGACCTCCACATCCGGCTTCTTCACCTGTGGGACTGTCTGAGACCAGCCACGCGGACAGCTGAAACTGGGTTTGCACAGCCGAAGAATTTCTGCACAAACTGTCAGAAACCGTCTCAGGGAAGACCTGACTGCAGTTCGGCGTTGTAACCTACTTCAGTGGGCAAATGCTCACCTTCGATGGCCACTGGCCCGCTGGAGAAGTGTGCTCTTCACGAATGAATCCCGGTTTCAACTGTACTGGGCAGATGGCAGACAGCGAGCGTGTATGGCGTTGTGTGGGCGAGTGGTTTGCTGATGGCAACGTTGTGAACAGAGTGCCCCATTGTGGGGTTATGGTATGGGCAGGTATAAGCAACGGACAATGAACCCAATTGCATTTTATCGATGGCAATTTGAATGCACAGAGATACCGTGACGAGATCCTGAGGCCCATTGTTGTGCCATTCATAAGCTGCCATCACCTCATGTTTCAGCATGATAATGCACAGCCCCATCTCGCAAGGATCTGTACACAATTCCTGGATGCTGAAAATGTCCCAGTTCTTCCATGGCTTGCATATTCACCAGACATGTCACCCATTGAGTATGTTTGGGATGCTCTGGATCGACGTGTACGACAACGTGTTCCAGTTCCTGCCAATATCCAGCAACTTCGCACAGCCATTGAAGAGGAGTGAGACAACATTCCACAGGCCACAATCAACAGCCTGATTGACTCAATGCGAAGGAGATCTGTTGCACAGCATGAGGCAAATGGTGGTCACACCAGATACTGACTGGTTTACTGATCCACACCCTACCTTTTTTTAATGTATCTGTGACCAACCGATGCATTATCTGTATTCCCAGTCATGTGACATCATAGATTAGGGCCTAATGATTTTATATCAACTGACTGATTTCCTTATATTAACTGTAACTCTATAAAATCTTTTAAATTGTTGCATGTTGCGTTTATAATTTTGTTCAGTGTACTTTGACCCCTGTTTATTATCTATCCTGATGTTATTGCGGGTTTAGCGAAATGCTTGTGTTTCTAGCTCCAACATTGCAGTAATATCTAACAATACACACAAATCTAAAAAGTAAAAGAATGGAATTAAGAACGAGCAATGTCGGAGTCCGCAGTGTGTGTATGATGGGAATTTATAGACATTCTAGACAGTATATGGATAGAATATAATTTATATTCTATCTGAAGAATGCATAGGATAGAATTAGTATATGTACAGCGATAGTTAAATAGAATGGACTAGAATACAGTATATACATATGAAGTGGGTGAAACATTATGTAAACATTTATTCAAGTTGACCAGTGTTCCATGTCTATGTACATAAGGCAGCAGCCTTTAAGGTGCAGGTTTGAGTATCCAGGTGGTAGCCGGCTAGTGAAAGTGACTAAAGTTCAGTGCAGGGTACTGGGCGGAGGCGGGCTAGTGGTGAATATTTAACAGTCTGATGGCCTCGAGACAGAAGCTGTTTTTCAGTCTCTCGGTCCCAGCTTTGATGCACCCGTACTGACCTCGTATTCTGGTTGATAGCGGGGTGAACAGGCTGTGGCTTGGGAGGCTGAGGTCCTTGATGATCTTCTTGGCCTTCCTGTGACACCAGGTGCTGTAGATGTCCTGGAGGGCAGGCAGTGTGCCCCCGGTGATGCATTGGGCAGACCGCACCACCCTCTGGAGAGCCCTGCGGTTGCGGACGTTGCAGTTGCCGTACCAGGTGGTGATGCAGCCCGACAGGATGCTCTCAATGGTGCATCTGTAAAAGTTTGTGAGGGTTTTAGGGGCCAAGATGAATTTCTTCAGCCTCCTGAGGTTGCGCCTTCTTCACCACACTGTTTGTGTGGGTGGACCATTTCAGATTCTCAGTGATGTGTACAATGAGGAAATTGAAGCTTTTCAACTTCTCCACTGCGACCCCGTCGATGTGGATGGGGGCATGCTCCCTCTGCTGTCTCCTGAAGTCCACCATCAGCTCCTTCATTTTGTTTAGGGAGAGGTTATTTTCCTGGCACCACTCTGCCAGGGCCCTCACCTCCTCCCTGTAGGCTGTTGGTAATCAGACCTACCACTGTTGTGTCGTCTGCAAACTTGATGATTGAGTTCAGACGTGCGTGGCCACACAGTCATTGGTGAACAGGGAGTACAGGAGGGGGCTGAGCACGCACCCTTGTGGGGCCCCTGTGTTGAGGATCAGTGTAGTGGATATGTTGTTGCCTACCTTCACCACCTGGGGGCGGCCCGTCAGGAAGTCCAGGACCCGGTTGCACAGGGAGGGGTTCAGACCCAGTGCCTCAAGCTTAATTATGAGCTTAGAGGGTACTATGGTGTTGAGTGGGTCTATGGTGTCGGGTAAGGTGGAGGTGATATGATCCTTAACTAGCCTCTCAAAGCACTTCATGATGACAGAAGTGAGTGCTTCGGGCGATAGACATTTTAGTTCAGTTACCTTCGCTTTCTTGGGTACAGGAACAATGGTGGACATCTTGAAGCAAGTGGGGACAGCAGACTTGGATAGGGAGATATTGAGTATGTCCGTTAACACTCCAGCCAGCTGGTCTGCACATTCTCAGAGGACGCGGTTAGGGATGCCGTCTGAGCCGGCAGCCTTGCAAGGGTTAACACGCTTAAACGTCTTACTCACGTCGGCCACGAAGAACAAGAGCTCACAGTCCTCGGGATCGGCGGTGGCCCGCGTCTGCGGCACTGTGTTTTCCTCGAAGCGGGCGAAGAAGGTGTTTAGCTTGTCCAGGAGCAGGACGTCAGTTTCCGAGACATGGCTGGTTTTCCCCTTATAATCTGATTGTCTGGAGTCCCTGCCACATGCGTATCGTGTCTGAGCCGTTGAATTGTGACTCCACTTTGTCTCTCTACTGACGTTTTGCCTGTTTGATTTCTTTACGGAGGGCATAACTAGACTGTTCGTACTCAACCATATTCCCAGTCACCTTGCCGTTGTTAAATGCGGTGGTTCACAATAAGGATATGTGGTTTCCAGTTTGCACAAAGTCCAGTGTAGTTCCTTGAGAGCCGTCGTGGTATCTGCTTCCGGGGGAATATACACGGCTGTGACGATGTCCGAAGAGAATTCTCTCGGGAGGTAATGCGGTCTGCATTTTATTGTGAGGTATTCTAGGTCAGGTGAACAAACACACTTGAGTTCCTGTACATTACCACGATCACACCATGAATAGTTAATTATGAAACATACACCACCGCCTTTCTTTTTCCCGGAGAGTTCTTTATTCCTGTCTGCGCGATGTACTGAGAACCCAGCTGGCTGGACGGGGACAGTATATCCGAAGAGAGCCATGATTCCATGAAACAGAGTATGTTACAGACCCTGCTGTCTCTCTGAAAGGAGATCCTCGCCCTGAGCTTGTCTACTTTATTGTCCAGGGACTGAACATTTGCGAGTAATATACTCGGAAGCGGTGGATGGTATGCACACCTCCTGAGTCAGACTAAAAGTCCACTCCAAATACTTATTCTCCTCCGGCAGCGTCTTGGAGCAGCCTCTGGGATGAATGGAATTGCCTTGTGGGGTACGAACAAAGGATCCAATTCAGTAAAGTCATATTTCTGGTGGAACTGCTGGTGAGTTACCTTCGTTCTAATATCCAAATGTTCTTTCCGGCTGTATGTAATAATGCAAAAAACGTTCTCAGCTAATAATGTGAGAAATGGCACAAAAAAACAAACAGAAATACCGCAAAGTTGCTGAGGAGACAGGAACCAGGCGACCATGTCTATCGGCGCCATCTTATAATTTTTACCCCCTAGCTACATGTACAAATGACCTCAACTACCTCATAGCCCTGCACACTGACTCAGTACCAGGACTGCTTGTGTATAGCCAATACTATTTCCTTAAAAACATATACTTTTTTTTTTAGCACATTTGTATTTCTTTTTCATGCTTTTTAACGCTTCATTGATGGGAACGGGCTTGTTAGTAAGCATTTCACTGTAAAGTCTACGCCTGTTGTATTCGGCACGTGACAAATAACATTAGATTAGATTTAGATTTGAATGACCATTGAGTGCAACAGGGTTTTATCGAGGCGCTTCCCACTGTTGCTTCCTTCCCACTGGGCAGCTGTTGCTTCACCGGGCAGCTGTATCACATGTCACTAGCGGTAGCCAACACCGTGGCCAATTTGTTCCACCCACTTGATTATATTTTAAGTATGAATAACTTCAATAAATAACTTGTAATATATCTGCATGTCACCGTGATACGGTCTACTACTCAGAGAGGGCAGAGTTTGTGCTGCAACACAATCACACGGGGCACAGTGTTGTGTCCTTCGCTCCCGAGTACCGCTTGCCGAGCGCAGCTGTCTTGCAGTAACTGAGGGGAGTAGCTAGATAGTGTTGCTAATATCAGGCCAGGGTGAGCGCTAAAGCACATTTTGTTGTTTTTGTAGTCCGATTAAAAACAGAACGATTCTGAACTCTCCCAAGTCCCAATTTAAGCAGACAAGTTTCAAATTCTCGCTGAAGTTTCTAGCTACAAGCATCAACTAGCTAGCTGCAGAGGACTCATTAGGACGACTGCCTCAACCAAATCCGTTCGTCCCCACTAAACTCTCGCTGCGTGACATTTTGGGCCACCAAGTGTGTCCGTATAGCCTCTCCCTATTAACTAGCTAGCTAGGTAGGTAGATGGCTCACCAACTTGCTAGCTGGTCCACGTAGTTAGCCAGCTAACCTAGCTAGCTAACAATGCTAACTGTTTTGCGATGTACTGTATTTGTGTATGTGAGCCAATCATTTCCTTTGACATGCACGTCAACAGCACCTTTTTTAGAATCCAATAAGTGAGGTGGCCTTAACAAGTGGAATGGCAGCGCCAGAAGCACACATTTCTCAGGGCCTGCCAGGTAACTAGCTAGCTAGTTCCTGCTTATAACATTACATTCATTACTTTATTTGATTTCCAGTAAGTGCATGAAGTAATGAGATACCATACTGTTTATCTTCTTTCTGACACAGTGGGAGGAGATATCCCAGTAGAACAACAAAAGGGGAAGAATGACAATACACGGAGCACTCCAGATAAAGACGCTCTGGTAGAGCAGAGCAACCAGACCCAGGATTCCTCTTTACCCTCGAATACACCAGGGGGTCAGGGCAGCCAGAAGGAGATGGAGGATTCAAATACTGAAGGTGAGAGAAGCTACAAGTTAACCCCCAAAAATAGTACCATCCAATTCCACGATTGTCTTATTGCAGGGCTCGACATTAACGCTTGTCCTCTTGTCCGGGACAAGTAAAAAAATTGTCGGACAACAAGAATGTAGATTTCAGTTGTCCAAATGGACAATTAAACAAAATCACACGTCACAATATCAAGCAATTTCTACGATCAGAATTGGATCAGCGTGGCCAACATTGGAATAATGTCGACTACATAAATAAAATAAAAAGCCCACTTGTCAAAGTGTATGTGATATGCATATTGTCTACAGCCTCATGTCCAAACCAATGTTGTACACTGAGTGTACAAAACATTAAGAACACCTTTCTAATATTGAGTTGCACCCCCCCAGACAATGCCCCTGTGGGGAGCGGTGAGAGAGGCTCTGAAGACTTTCACTAGGCACTGCTTGTTGTGTTCATCCTCTGTTTTAATGTTTCCTGTTGCACTAGTAAAAAAGCAGACGGAGCCCTCTGCTGCAGTGATGGAACAGCCAGACATTGACCCAGAGGAGAAGGACAACAATGGCCCTGTGGGGAGCGGTGAGAGAGTCTCTGAAGAGGGAGATGAAGAGGGAGCTGTAGAGCCCCGGTCCCAGACCCCACCCCTCGTCACAGACCAGAGGGCTACTAAAGAACGCAAAGAGTCGTCCGGTGAGACTGCCACTTCCTTTCTGTTTTCATTGATAACTAGGCATTAGGTACTCTCTGACTGATGTGATGTGGCACTTGCAATTCAAGGAAATAGGCTATAGTGTTTTTAAAATTATCCCTCAGGACTAATTCTAAACCATGTGCAACGTTGGTAGAATCTTATTCAAAATGATTCACAGCTGTAATGGCTGCCAAGGTGCTTCCTCCAAGTATTAACTCAGGGGTGTAAAGACACACGCAATCAAGACTTCAGTTCTTATTATTTATTTGGAAAAATCTATAATTTCTTTCACTTTGAAAATGTGTAGTAGGTTGTGTAGATGGGTAGGAAAACCATCTAATTTCATCCATTTTTAGTTTTAATTTGAAGGCAGCAAAATGTGAAGACTGTGCAAGTAGTGTGTAGACTTTCACTAGGCACTGCTTGTTGTGTTCATCCTCTGTTTTAATGTTTCCTGTTGCACTAGTAAAAAAGCAGACGGAGCCCTCTGCTGCAGTGATGGAACAGCCAGACATTGACCCAGAGGAGAAGGACCAGGATTCCTCTTTACTCTCAAATACATCAGGGGGTCAGGGGAGCCAGAACTCGGAGGATTCTAATACTGAAGGTGAGAAAAGTTCAAGGTTTCACCCCCCAAAATGGTACCATCCAATTCCATGGTCGTCTTATTGCAGGGCTCGACATTAATGCTTGTCCTCTTGTCCGGGACAAGTAAAAAAAAATTGTCGGACTAGAAGAATATAGATTTGAGATTTCCAAATGGACAATTAAAAAAAAAAAATCACACAAATCACAATCTCAAGCAATTTCTACGATCAGAATTGGATCAGCGAGGCCAACATTTGAATAATATTCAAATACGTTTTTTATGTTGCCTACATAAATAAAAAAAAGCCTACATGTCAAAGTGTATGTGATATGCATATTAACTACAGCCTCGTGTCCAAACCAATGATGTACACTGAGTGTACAAAACATTAAGGACACCTTTCTAATATTGAGTTGCATCCCACCCCCGTTTGCCCTCAATTCGCCTCAATAAGTCGGGGGCATTGACTCTGCAAGGTGTCGAAAGCATTCCACAGGGATGCTGGGCCATACACTACCCATGTCTCAATTTTCTCAAGGCTTTAGACAAAATCCTTCTTTAACCTGTCTCCTCCTCTTCATCTACACTGATTTGAAGTGGATTGAACAAGTGACATCAGTAAGGGATCATAGCTTTCACCTGGCCAGTCTAAAGCCCTATTCGGACGGGATAGGTTTTACTGGGGGTAGCTCAGGTAATGTAATTATGTGCACGAGCACAAATCACCACATCCGTCATTTTAGTCCCGTCCGAATCTGCCATGTCAGTCATTTTTACTCGGCAGGAAGGTTATTATAACCGCCCTAAGAACCTACTGTTTTTCAGAAAACTCCCAAAGTCCTCTGATAATACTTATCCCGTGCGAATTGTCATCCCTGTGTTTTGAGGTATATTACAGAGTTTAACAGGTGCTGCACCCAGTTTGGGTAAGAACATGTGAACAAATTTGATGCTTAAAACAAAGTGCTATGCACGTAGCCTACATATGAATGATCTGTTTTGTCATATATCAGCTTTCCTAGTGCCATACTTGTCTTTTTAAAAGATGAAGTGGACGATATTGTGCCAATGAGTCGATGCATTTCCAAATACGTCAGGTAATTTAAATGTCTGCATAGGTTACAGTTCATGGTTCTTATTGATATTCATTAGTATTTTGACTTTCTCCGATCTTAAGGCCATTAGGCCAATATTAGGCTATCCCTAGACATTTGAAATGTCTTCACGCCTATATGACCCTCCAGGCTTCCGTCATAACGGTACATTGTGAATGAGGGGGTGGGGGGGGGGGGGGGGAAGTATTACAGGGGCAGTTTGGTAAAACTAATCCCGTCCGAATCCTCCGCTGGGAAAAACGGACATGCTGGGATAATAATTACATAACCGACGTTCTATAGTAAAACTTGCCCCGTGCGTATAGGGCTTATGTCATGGAAAGAGCCAAGTAAATTTGGTTAGGAATCATTGATGGACAGAAATATTCAAACTGTGTTTCTAATTTTCAAGCAATGTTAAGTCAGGACTGAGACTGGATTATTCATGACCACTGGAATCCTATTGGAAAGCCAATCTGGGGTGTAACTGAAAAATAAAACTATCCCAGGTTTAGGTTTCCAGAAGACTGAGGTGGGTTTTCCTCTTAACGTTTTACCTGGGCTTTGCTCCTTTCATATTTATTTTGATCCTGACAAACTCCCCCAGTCCCTGTTGGTGACAAGCATACCCATAACATGATGCTGCCACCACAATACTTGAAAATGCAGAGGGTTTTACTCTGGTGTGTTGTATTGGATTTGACCCAAACCTGTAGTGTTTCATTTAGTCCAAAAAGTTCATTTCTTCGCCGTGTAGTCTTGCAGTACTCCTTAACGGCCTCGTTGCGAAATAGAATGGATGATTTGTTTCACTTTGGAAATGTGTAGTAGGTTGTGTAGATGGGTAGGAAAACCATCTAATTTCATCCATTTTTAGTTTTAATTTGAAGGCAGCAAAATGTGAAGACTGTGCAAGTAGTGTGTGGACTTTCACTAGGCACTGCTTGTTGTGTTCATCCTCTGTTTTAATGTTTCCTGTTGCACTAGTAAAAAAGCAGACGGAGCCCTCTGCTGCAGTGATGGAACAGCCAGACATTGACCCAGAGGAGAAGGACAACAATGCCCCTGTGGGGTGCGTTGAGAGAGTCTCTGAAGAGGGAGATGAAGAGGGAGATGAAGAGGGAGCTGTAGAGCCCCGGTCCCAGACCCCACCCCTCGTCACAGACCAGAGGGCTACTAAAGAATGCAAAGAGTCGTCCGGTAAGACTGCCACTTCCTTTCTGTTTTCATTGATTACTAGGCATTAGGTAGTCTCTGACTGATGTGATGTGGCACTTGCAATTCAAGGAAATAGGCTATAGTGTTTTTAAAATTTCTTCCTCAGGACTAATTCTAAACCATGGAAATCAGAACAACAAATAACTGAAGCCTGTTTCTGCTTCTGCTTTTTCCACAGGTAATGTGTCAAAGTTGATGCTCGCTGGGATTCTAGCGTTTCTGCTGGCCGTGGCGGTGAATTTTTTCAGCTCTGAGTCTCTCTCTGAGAAAACCGATTTCAACCGAACAGAGATCTTCCTCAGAGAGATGAAGAAGGTGGAGGCCCAGTTCCCCGGCCAGCGCTCTGAGCTGTGGAGGAGGAGCAGGATCCACCTGGAGAGGCACCTCCAGACGGCCCAGCCCACAGAGCCAGTCAGCCTGATGCTGACAGCAGGCCGCAGGGGGGAGAGGACGCTGCACTGCCTTGCCCTGCGCCTGGCCAACGCCGTCTCCTCTGCCCTCAACTCCTCCTCCATCCTCCACATCGACGGGGCCAGCAAGACTGGCCAGGACAGCGACCAGGTCAAGCTGGACATCGACACCCAGCTGCGGGATGCCTTCGAGGGGGACCAGCCCGTAGCCGTCGTCTACCGCTTTGAGGAGCTGCCCCCGGGCTCCACGATCATATTCTACCGCTACTGTGACCACGAGAATGCCGCCTACAAGGAGGCCTTGCTCATCTTCACCGTGCTGCTGGGGGGCGAGGAGGAGCTGCCAGCCAGCCTGGGACTGAGTGCTGTGGAGGAGATGGTGGATGACCACCTCCAGGACAAGTTCCTCTCCTCTGACCAGCCGGCCGCCTATGACATGATGGACCTGGACAAGTTCAGTGGTCTGTGGAGCCGTATCTCCCACCTGGTCCTGCCGGTGGCAGCAGAGGAGACCATAGAGCGGAGGGGCTGTGTGTAAAACCCCTGTCTATTTTTACCGTAACACCTTCTACCAGCCTGGTCGCAGATCGGTTTGTGGTTTTTGCCAACTTTTCCGTTCTCAGTGCCATTTTTTGGTATCACACAATTCCATAGGGAGTTGGCCAGCGAGCAGACAGGCTAACCTTCTAATGCTCTAACCACTGAGCTATCTAAAACGTATATATCCCCGCATCCTTCATAACATTATCATCATCATCATCTTCACAGTTGTGATGTTTTAATAAATGGTCACAGCACACGCATCCTTCATAACATTATCATCATCATCATCATCTTCCCAGTTGTGATGTTTTAATGGTGGTCACAGCACACAGAGACATGAAAGATTCACGTCATAAAAATGTCTGTAGCGGTCGGCAATAGTAACACTATTAAAGTTTTGGTAATGGGGTTGAGCGGTGCTGTGTCGACCACTTGCCACTTTATTAGTTCAGTCTACTACTAAAGGCAGAGCCAAGAAGAAAAGAAAAAACATTCATCCAGAGAGAAACTGCACTAATGTAATTAGCGATCTGGAAGACACAGCAGGGTGTGTATTATATGTACAGCATGTATGAGATTGTGGTTAATAATTATGGATATGATTTATTATGAGTGTTTTTACTCAGATTTGACTCTTTAAAAAAAAAGTGATGTCCTATTTGAATTCTTCCTCCTATAGATGTCTATTAAAGAGCATCCTCTTTGGTGTGTGTATCATTCGTTGTTGTTTTGTAACCAGGGGTTTACCTAGTCAGGAATACCCAGGTTGCCTCACCTGTCAATGATTTTGAGAACAAAGATATCAATAAAACATTGTGCCTTAAAATAATAAATATGGGGTATGTGTGTATTCTGTTGTTCTTTATAGAATAATGAGTGTATATGACATGGGCTGGCTCGTTTTCCAGAAATATGGAAATGGATAAATGACTGGTGCAAAGTTGTCTTTGGTCTTCCTCGCGAAGTACCGCCAGAGGGCACCAAAGACCATATTGCATGGCTGTGGCTTGCTTCATTCTCTTCTGTCTAGGAAAGTTGCTTAACAAACCAGTTAAAGATAAACTACTCGCAAAATGTATGTGGCGAATATTATCATGATCCAACCATTTAAATGGACATATGCATTATTATATTTTCAATATGGCATGGTTATCCCTTATTTATTCTCTGCGCGCGCCACTTGGCATCATCACCTTTGCGCAGTTAAACTCCTCCTTGCCCCCCTTCCATCAGGTCCTCTCCTTTCTGTCGTCTCTCCAAGGACTCCAGCGCACTGAGCCCAGTCCCTCTCATCACCCTGCAGTCACTCCCGGCAGATGCACTTACACACGCAGAGGACCATAAAACACTTGCTTTCCACTTACCAAGCAGGAAAAGGCGATTTGCTGATGAAATAGAAATATGCAACTCATCTGGGATCAAAATCAAAGGCAAATAAAATCTAAAAGTTAGAGCAATAGGCACTCCTTTCTGTAGTGCTTTTTCCGGTCTTCCTTAGCCTACATGATGGCTAAACCGGTTTTTCTGTGCGCTATTTGGTGTGCGTTTTTCGCGTGGTGTTCAGCTGCGCCAAAGGAGTGCACGGGAACGGCCATACCTACGGACACTAATCCTGGGATTAAATCCGAATTTAAGGGGGACCTCGGAGAGAAGAATGATTTGCCACAGGAAGAGATGAACACACATCAGAACATTCTGACCCAGGTAGGTCCATGGTGCCATCACCTAGCCTATCATCAACTAGTAGAGTTGTTGATGTGAAAATATCTATTATTTACATTAGTCAATTTTGATTCAGTATTTTCAAATTAATAATATATGGTGCCACTGAAAGCATGCCTATACTGGAAACATGCCTATACTGGAAACATGCTTTTACTGAAGGCATTCCAATACTGAAAGCATGCCTATACTGACTTCTACACCTGCATTATACGTGCTTCTACACCTGCATTACTAGCTGTTTGGGGTTTTAGGCTGGGTTTCTGTACAGCACTTCGAGATATTAGCTGATGTAAGAAGGGCTATATAAAATAAAATTGATTGATTGATTGACTGACAGCAAGCCAATACTGAAAGCATGCCTATACTGAAAACATGCTTTTACTGAACGCATTCCAATACTGAAAGCATGCCTTTACTAAAAGCAAGCCAATACTGAAAGCATGCCTATACTGAAAACATGGCAATACTGAAAGCATGCCAATACTGAAAGCAAGCCAATACTAAAAGCATGCCTATACTGAACGCATGCCTATACTGAAAACATGCCTATACTGAAAGCATGCCTATACTGTAAACATGCCTGTACTGAAAACATGCCTGTACTGAAAACATGCTTATACTGAAAGCATGCCAATACTGAATATATGGTCAAGATGCATTTGTATCAAGTAAAATGTGCTCTGATTATACGTGGTGGAAAATGCGTCCGTCCTCTTCTCTTTGTAGCTGCTGGGTGATTATGACAAAGTGAAAGCCCTCTCCGAAGGCTCTGACTGTCGCTGTAAATGTGTTGTCAGACCCCTGAGCAGGAGCGCCTGCCGGCGGATAGAAGAGGGCAGCGGCACGGCGCAGGACGTCTACACCGTGGAAACTATCACCTCGGGGCCAGAGTGCAAGTGCACCTGCATCGCTCCTCCGTCGTTGGTCGATCCCTGCGACAGGGACTTCAGGTTGAAGCAGCTACGGGAAGCTGGGAAGGATAACATCAAGGTGACAGCCTGGACCCACTCCATCATATCCAAATGATGGCTCTGTCTGGGTCATCCACCTCAGTGTCAAGTTGACTAGGGGCCGTCGGTGTCACTGCAACTTCTGTCTTCTGACACCTTTTATGATTCATTAGAGGATTTGGATGTTCAAATGTTATAATCATGGATGGGCTGTGGAAATGTCATGAGTTTTATGGCATGTCTGTGCTGAGAGAGTAATCCATATTGATGGGCTATGGGAAATAGTTTGATTATGGCATGTCTGTGCTGAGAGAGTAATCCTTATGGATGGGCTATGGGAAATAGTTTGATTATGGCATGTCTGTGCTGAGAGAGTAATCCATATGGATGGGCTATGGGAAATAGTTTGATTATGGCATGTCTGTGCTGTGATCAGAATGAGTGCAACCCCTCTGATGGAATTTACTTGATCCATTCTAGCTCTCCTTGATTATGGAATTGCTGGAGGGATCCTTCTACGGCCTGGATCTACTGAAGCTGCACTCTGTCACCACTAAGCTCCTGGACCGTGTGGAAAACATTGAAAAGGTAAGTCCTCCATCACTGAGGAAGACAACCCTATCTTACCTGTAAAGAATAGGCTACATACAGTTGGAGTCGGAAGTTTACATACACTAAGTTGACTGTGCCTTTAAACAGCTTGGAAAAATCCAGAAAATGATGTCATGGCTTTAGAAGCTTCTGATAGGCTAATTGACATCATTTGAGTCAATTGGAGATGTACCTGTGGATGTATTTCAAGGTCTACCTTCAAACTCAGTGCCTCTTTGCTTGACATCATGGGAAAATCAAAAGAAATCAGCCAAGACCTCAGAAGAAAAATTGTAGACCTCCACAAGTCTGGTTCATCCTTGGGAGCAATTTCCAAACGCCTGAAGGTACCACGTCCATCTGTACAAACAATAGTAAGTATAAACACCATGGGATCACGCAGCCGTCATACCGCTCAGGAAGGAGACGCGTTCTGTCTCCTAGAGATGAACGTACTTTGGTGCGAAAAGTGCAAATCAATCCCAGAACAACAGCAAAGGACCTTGTGAAGATGCTGGAGGAAACAGGTACAAAATTATCTATATCCACAGTAAAACGAGTCCTATATCGACATAACCTGAAAGGCCGCTCAGCAAGGAAGAAGCCACTGCTCCAAAACTGCCACAAAAAAGCCAGAAAACGGTTTGCAACTGCACATGGGGACAAAGATTGTACTTTTTGGAGAAATGTCCTCTGGTCTGATGAAACAAAAATATAACTTTTTGGCCATAATGACCATCGTTATGTTTGGAGGAAAAACCGGGTGGCTTGCAAGCCGAAGAACACCATCCCAATCGTGAAGCACTGTGTTGGCAGCATCATGCTGTGGGGGTGCTTTGCTGCAGGAGGGACTGGTGCACTTCACAAAATAGATGGCATTATGAGGAAGGAAAATTATGTGGATATATTGAAGCAACATCTCAAGAAATCAGTCAGGAAGTTAAAGCTTGGTCGCAAATGGGTCTTCCAAATGGACAATGACCCCAAGCATGCTTCCAAAGTTGTGGCAAAATGGCTTAAGGATAACAAAGTCAAGGTATTGGAGTGGCCATCACAAAGCCCTGACCTCAATCCTATAAAACATTTGTGGGCAGAACTGAAAAAGCGTGTGCAAGCAAGAAGGCTGCAAACCTGACTCAGTTACACCAGCTCTGTCAGGAGGAATGGACCAAAATTCACCCAACATATTGTGGGAAGCTTGTGGAAGGCTACCCGACACGTTTGACCCAAGTTAAACCATTTAAAGGCAATGCTACCAAATACTAATTGAGTGTATGTAAACTTCTGACCCACTGGGAATGTGATGAAAGAAACAAAAGCTGAAATACATAATTCTCTCTACTATTATCCTGACATTTCACATTCTTAAAATAAAAGTGGTGATCCTAACTGACCTAAAAACAGTGAATTTTTACTAGGATTAAATGTCAGGAATTGTGGAAAAACTGAGTTTAAATGTATTTGGCTAAGGTGTATGTTAACTTCCTACTTCAACTGGACATCATGGGCTGAAGGGCACATACAATACATGGACAGAGGGAGTGAAGTGAATCTGAGATGTGGTGAGCACAGCAGCACACCCACACTGAATGAAAACAGAACTCCGTATACAACAGTAAGTAGACTGGGTGTATGCTGCAGATTAGGAGAACGTACACTACCGTTCAAAAGTTTGGGGTCACTTAGAAATGTCCTTGTTTTCGAAAAGAAAAGCAATTTTTTTGTCCATTAAAATAACATCAAATTGATCAGAAATACAGTGAAGACATTGTTCATGTTGTAAATGGCTATTGTAGCTGGAAACGGCTGATTTTTTTATGGAATATCTACATAGGCGTACAGAGGCCCATTATCAGCAACCATCAGTCCTGTGTTCCAATGGCACGTTGTGTTTGCTAATCCAAGTTTATCATTTTAAAAGGCTAATTGATCTTTAGAAAACCCTTTTTGCAATTATGTTAGCACAGCTGAAAACTGTTGTGCTGATTAAAGAAGCAATAAAACTGGCCTTCTTGAGACTAGTTGAGTGTCTGGAGCATCAGCAATTGTGGGTTCGATTACAGGCTCAAAATGGCCAGAAACAAATAACTTTCTTCTGAAACTCGACAGTCTATTCTTGTTCTGAGAAATGAAGGCTATTCTATGCGAGAAATTGCCAAGAAACTGAAGATCCTCAGACGAGCCAGCTGATTGGATGGAAACCAACCACTTAGAATAGTCTCATGACCTACTCTCCCAGGAGCCATTACTCTGCTTTATTAGTGGTTCTGCTGCCTGCCACGGGCGACTTTATGGACCTGGAAGGAGTGTCCAACACACTCCATTTAAATGATGGAAATTATAAATTAATTCTGCCTGAAGCATAACTGTTTTCTTAATAGTGAGTTAAATCAATTTTATGTCTTGAAAGACACCCTTCTTTGGTCAAGGTCCCCCCCCCCCCTTCCTAGAAAACATGCTCCCTTATTGAGTGTCTAATATTTATTGAAATGTAGCTGCTTGTGAATGAGATACACTCTATTATAAAGTACTATCATTCTTTTACCATAAGAAACATCCTATATGTGTCCAACCAGAACCAAGCAGTCTCTCAGAACCAGGATGAGGCTGTCGCAGGCCGAGAGAGGAGGCCCTCTATCAAGCCACAGCAGGTGAAGGAGAACCCCGTTACACCCGCCCCCTCGCTCCCCCTGAGGCAGGAGAAGAAAAGACTGGGTGATCTGAGTGACGTGGCTACAGCCTATCAGAATAAAGAGGTGGGTAGGATCTGGCGGTCGTCAGGTTTGGTAGTACTGCAACACCAATGCTCTCGAGTGGCTTTACAAAAAAAAGCACATTGGGATCTCATTGTATCGACATCGATTATTTTCTTTATGCCAGCAGCATACCACCCTGCATCCCACTGCTGGCTAAACAGGGTTGGTCCTGGATGGGAAATCAGATGCTGCTGGAAGTGGTGTTGGAGGGCCAGTAGGAGGAACACTTACCTCTGGTCCCCAAAAAAATATCCCAATTCCCCAGGGCAGTGATTAGGGACATTGCCCTGTGTAGGGTGCAGTCTTTCAGATGGGACGTTAAAACGAGTGTCCTGACTCTCTGAGGTCACTAAAGATCCCATGGCACTTACTGTAAGAGAAGGGGTGTCCTGGCTAAATTCCCAATCTGTCCGTCAAACCATCATGGCCACCTAATCATCTCCAGCTTCCAATTGGCTCATTCATCCCCCCTCTTCTCCCCTGTCACAATTCCCCAGGTCTTTGCTACAAATGAGAATGTGTTCTCAGTCAACTTACCTGGTAAAATAAGGGTAAAATAAATTCCTTTAGCCTGTATTCTAGATAAATCCTTCTTTACTGAAGGAATAATCTTACATTGACATTTTAGTCATTTAGCAGACGCCCTTATCGCGATAGCTAGGTGAAACAACATTTTTTACAGACAGTCAGTGCATACATTTTATTTTGTCATACTGGCCCCCCGTGGGAATCGAACCCACAACCCTGGCGTTGCAAGCGCCGTGCTCTACCAACTGAGCTACACGGGGCCACATCACAGTCACAGTAAGTAGTGAAGAGGGGGATTATTTCAAATCAAATTTTATTTGTCACATGCGCCGAACACAACAGGTGTAGTAGACCTTACCGTGAAATGCTTACTTACAAGCCCTTAACCAACAATGCAGTTCAAGAAATAGAGTTAAGAAAATATTTACTAAATAAACTAAAGTAAAAAATAAAATACAAAGTTACACAATAAAATAAACAACGAGGCTATATACTGGGGGTCCCGGGACCGAGTCAATGTGCAGGGGGTACAGGTTAGTTGAGGTAATTTGTACATGTAGGTAGGGGTAAAGTGACTATGCATAGATAATAAACAGCTAGTATCAGCAATGTAAAAACAAAGGGGGGGGGGGGGGGGGGGGGGGGTTGTTATCAATGTAAATAGTCCGTAGTCCAGGTGGCCATTTGATAAATTGTTCAGCAGTCTTATGGCTTGGGGATAGAAGCTGTTAAAGATACTTTTGGACCTAGACTTGGCGCTCCGGTACAGCTTGCCGTGCGGTAGCAGAGAGAACAGTCTATGACTTGGGTGACTGGAGTCTTTGACAATTTTCGGGGCCTTCCTCTGACATACCTAGTATATAGGTCCTGGATGGCTGGAAGCTTGGCCCCAGTGATGTACTGGGCCGGACACACTACCCTCTGTAGTACTTTACAGTTGGATGCCGAGCAGTTGCCATACCAGGCGGTGATGCAACCGGTCAGGATGCTCTCGATGGTGCAGCTGTAGAACTTTGAGGATCTGGGGACCCATGCCAAATCTTTTCAGTCTCCTGAGGGGGAAAAGGTGTTGGCGTGCCCTCTTCACGACTGTCTTGGTGTGTTTGGAACATGATAGTTTGTTGGTGATGTGGACACCAAGGAACTTGAAACTCTCGACCCGCTCCACTACAGTCCCGTCGATGTGAATGGGGGCGTGTTCGTGCTCCTTTGTCTTGCTCATGTTGAGGGAGAGGTTATTGTCCTGGCACCACACTGCCAGGTCTCTGACCACCTCCCTATAGGTTGTCTCATCGTTGTCGGTGATCAGGCCTACCACTGTTATGTCGTCAGCAAACTTAATGATGGTGTTGGAGTCGTGCTTGGCCACGCAGTCGTGGGTGAACAGGGAGTACAGGAGGGGACTAAGCACGCACTCCTGAGGGGCCCCAGTGTTGAGGATCAGCGTGGCAGATGTGTTGTTGCCTACCCTTACCACCTGGGGGCAGCCCGTCAGGAAGTCCAGGATCCAGTTGCAGAGGGAGGTGTTTAGTCCCAGGGTCCTTAGCTTAGTGATGAGCTTTGTGGGCACTATGGTGTTGAATGCTGAGCTGTAGTCAATGAAAGCATTCTCACATAGGTGTTTGTTTTGTCCAGGTGGGAAAGGGCAGTGTGGAGTGCGATTGAGATTGTGTCATCTGTGGATCTGTTGGGGCGGTATGCGAATTGGAGTGGGTATAGGGTTTCCGGGATAATGGTGTTGATGTGAGCCCTGGTGAGCTGGTGCTCTCATGCATGCTTCAGTGTTACTTGCCTCGAAGCGAGCATAAAAGGCATTTTGCTCGTCTGGTAGGCTCGCGTCACTGGGCAGCTCGCGGCTGGGTTTCCCTTGGTAGTCCGTAATAGTTTGCAAGCCCTGCCACATCCAACGAGCGTCAGAGCCGTTGTAGTAGGATTCAATCTTAGTCCTGTATTGACGCTTTGCCTGTTTGATGGTTTGTCTGAGGGCATAGCGGGATTTCTTATAAGCGTCCGGATTAGTGTCCCGCTCCTTGAAATCTATACTCTTTGAAGAGGTAGGGTTTAGGTGCATTTGGAAGATGGGCAAGGACTCTGCTGTCCTAGCTTCAGGAGGTAGCTGGTTCCACCATTGGGGTGCCAGGACAGAGAAGAGCTTGGACTGGGCTGAACGAGAGCTGCCATCCTGTAGGGGTGGGAGGGCCAAGAGACCAGAGGTGGCAGAATGGAGTGCTCAGGTTGGGGTGTAGGGTTTAAGCATAGCCTGAAGGTAGGGAGGGGCAGTTCCTCTTGCTGTGCCGTAGGAAAGCACTATGGTCTTGTAGTGGATGTGAGCTTTGACTGGAAGCAAATGGAGTGTGGGAGAACTTGGGAAGGTTGAAACTTGGCGGGCTGCAGCGTTCTGGATAAGTTGCAGGGGTTTGATGGCACAAGCGGGGAGCCCAGCCAACAGCAAGTTGCCGTAGTCCAGACGGGAGATAAGTGCCTGGATTAGGACCTGCGCCGCTTCCTGTGTGAGGTAGGGTCGTACTATACGGATGTTGTAGAGCATGAACCTGCAGGAGCGAGTCACTGCTTTGATGTTTGCAGAGAATGACAGGGTCTAGTCCAGGGTCACGCCATGGTTCTTTGCACTCTGGGAGGGCGACACTGTTGAGTGATCAATCGTGATGGAGAGGTCTTTGAGCGTGGAGGCCTTCCCCGGGAGGAAGAGCAGCTCTGTCTTGTCAAGGTTGAGCTTGAGGTGGTGGGCCGACATCTAAGTTGAGATATATGCCAGGCACGCAGCGATGCATGTCACCACCTGGGTGTTAGAAGGGGGAAAGGATCAAAATTGTTGAGTGTCATTCACATAGCAATGATAGGAGAGACCATGTGAGGATATGACAGAGACAAGTGACTTGGTGTATAGAGAAAAGAACCGAGCCCTGGGGGACACCAGTAGTGAGAGAACATGGTGCAGACACAGATCCTCGCCATGTCACCTGTTGGAGCGGCCTGCCAGATAGGTTGCAATCCAAGAGTGTGCAGAGTCTGAGACGCCCAGCCCTGAGAGGGTGGAGAGGAGTATCTGATGGTTCACTGTGTCGAATGCAGCGGATAGATCTGGAGGATGAGAACAGAGGAGAGAGAGTCAGCTTTGGCAGTGCCGAGAGCCTCTGTGACACAGAGAAGAGCAGTCTCGGTTGAGTGACCCGTCTTGAAGCCTTACCGTTAGGGTCAAGAAGATCGTTCTGAGAGAGATAACGAGAGAGTTGATCAGAGGCTGCACACTCAAGTGTTTTGGAAAGAAAGAAGGGATACAGGTCTATAGTTTTTGACGTCAGATGAGTCGAGTGTTCGTTTCTTGAGGAGGGGAGCGACTCGGGCCATTTTGAAGTCAGAGGGGACGCAGCCAGTGGTCAGGGATGAGTTGATGAGGGAAGTGAGGAATGGGAGAAGGTCTCCAGAGATGGTCGGGAGAAGGGGATGGGGTCGAGCGAGCAGGTTGTCGGGCTGCCAGATCTCACTAGTCGCAGGATTTCATCTGGCGAGAGGGGAGAAAGAGGTCAAGGCGTAAGGTAGTTCTGTGTGAGCGAGACCGGTGGACTCAATAAGCTGAGTGAATGAAAAGCGGATGTCGTCAACCTTCTTTTCAAAGTGGTTGACAAAGTCGTCCACAGAGAGGGATGAGGTGGAGGATTAAGGAGGGAGGAGAAGGTGTTAAAGAGTTCCCTAGGGTTAGAGGCAGAAGTTTAAAATGTAAAGTGGTAGAAAGTGGCTTTAGCAGCAGATACGGAGGAAGAGAAGGTAGAGAAGATGGAGTAAAAGGATGATAGGTCCTCCGAAAGTCTAATTTTCCTAAATTTTTGCTCTGTTCTGTGAGATCGCAATGAGTTACTCAGCCATGGAGCAGGAGGGGAGGGCCGGGCCGGCCTGGAGGGTAAGGGGACAATGTGAATCATAGGATGCGGAAAGGGAGGAGAGTAGGGTCGAAGAGGCAGAATCAGGAGACAGGATTTAGCAGAAGGGAGAGATGATAGGATAGCAGAGGAGAGAGTAGTGGGAGAGAGAGAGAGCGAAGATCGCAACGGCGCATTACCATCTGGGTAGGGGCTGAGTGGATAGGGTTGGAGGAGAGATGGAGAGAAAAGGAAACAAAGTACTGATCAGAGACCTGGAGGGGGGCTGCAGTGAGATTAATAGGTTTGTATTTGTATTTATTATGGATCCCCGTTAGTTCCTGCCAAGGCAGCACCTACTCCTCCTGGGGTCCAGCAAAGTTAAGGCAGTTATACATTTAAAAAACATTACAATATATTCATAATAGATTTCACAACATATTAAGTGTGTGCCCTCATGCCTCTACTCTACTACCACATATCTATAACACAAAATCCATGTGTGTATAGTGCGTATGTTATCGTGTGTTTGTATGCATACAGTGAGGGGGAAAATTATTTGATCCCCTGCTGATTTTGTATGTTTGCCCACTGACAAAGAAATGATCAGTCTATAATTTTAATGGTAGGTTTATTTGAACAGTGAGAGACAGAATAACAACAAAAAAATCCAGAAAAATGTCAAAAATGTTATAAATTGATTTGCATTTTAATGAGGGAAATAAGTATTTGACCTCCTCTCAATCAGAAAGATGTCTGGCTCCCAGGTGTCTTTTATACAGGTAACGATCTGAGATTAGGAGCACACTCTTAAAGGGAGTGCTCCTAATCTCACTTTGTTACCTGTATAAAAGACACCTGTCCACAGAAGCAATCAATCAATCAGATTCCAAACTCTCCACCATGGCCAAGACCAAAGAGCTCTCCAAGGATGTCAGGGACAAGATTGTAGACCTACACAAGGCTGTAATGGGCTACAAGACCATCGCCAAGCAGCTTGGTGAGAAGGTGACAACAGTTGGTGTGATTATTCGCAAATGGAAGAAACACAAAATAACTGTCAATCTCCCTCGGCCTGGGGCTCCATGCAAGATCTCACCTCGTGGAGTTGCAATGATCATGAGAACGGTGAGGAATCAGCCCAGAACTACACAGGAGGATCTTGTCAATGATCTCAAGGCAGCTGGGACCATAGTCACCAAGAAAACAATTGGTAACACACTACGCCGTGAAGGACTGAAATCCTGCAACGCCCGCAAGGTCCCCCTGCTCAAGAAAGCACATATACAGGGCCGTCTGAAGTTTGCCAATGAACATCTGAATGATTCAGAGAAGAACTGGGTGAAAGTGTTGTGGTCAGATGAGACCAAAATCGAGCTCTTTGGCATCAACTCAACTCGCTGTGTTTGGAGGAGGAGGAATGCTGCCTATGACCCCAAGAACACCATCCTCACCGTCAACCATGGAGGTGGAAACATTATGCTTTGGGGGTTTTTCTGCTAAGGGGACAGGGCAACTTCACCGCATCAAAGGGACGATGGACGGGGCCATGTACCGTCAAATCTTGGGTGAGAACCTCCTTCCCTCAGCCAGGGCATTGAAAATGGGTCGTGGATGGGTATTCCAGCATGACAATGACCCAAAACACACGGCCAAGGCATCAAAGGAGTGGCTCAAGAAGAAGCACATTAAGGTCCTGGAGTGGCCTAGCCAATCTCCAGACCTTAATCCCATAGAAAATCTGTGGAGGGAGCTGAAGGCTCGAGTTGCCAAACGTCAGCCTCGAAACCTTAATGACTTGGAGAAGATTTGCAAAGAGGAGTGGGACAAAATCCTTCCTGAGATGTGTGCAAACCTGGTGGTGTCACGATCATTTACTGATGAGACGGACCAAGGCGCAGCGTGATAAGCGTACATTTTATTTACGTACTTAACTCACGACAAAACAACAAACCAGCGAAACGTGAAGTCCTAGGTTACACAAAACAAACCTTTACGGAACAAGATCCCACCCCGACTAGTGCCAAACAGGCTGCCTAAGTATGGTCCCCAATCAGAGACAACGAGATACAGCTGCCTCTGATTGGGAACCACCCTGGCCAACATAGATCAAAACGATCTAGAACTAAACATAGAAAACAACACAACACGGAAACTACACACCCTGGCTCAACATTTCAGAGTCCCCAGAGCCAGGGTGTGACAGGTGGCCAACTACAAGAAACGTCTGACCTCTGTGATTGCCAACAAGGGTTTTGCCACCAAGTACTAAGTCATGTTTTGCAGAGGGGTCAAATACTTATTTCCCTCATTAAAATGCAAATCAATTTATAACATTTTTGACATGCGTTTTTCTGGATTCTTTTGTTGTTATTCTGTCTCTCACTGTTCAAATAAACCTACAATTCAAATTATAGACTGATCATGTCTTTGTCAGTGGGCAAACATACAAAATCAGCAGGGATAACCTGAACCTGGTTGCAGGCACTAGTTACAGTTTGAAGCTTTCTCTTGAGTGGGCAGCCTGATGAAAGCCAGTCAATATTTAAATCACCCAGAAAGTATACCTCTCTTTTGATATCAAATCAAATGTTATTTGTCACATGCGCGGAATACAACAGGTGTAGACCGTACAGTGAAATGCCTACTTACAAGCCCTTAACCAACAATGCAGTTTTAAGAAAGAATACCAAAAAATGCATGCAATGCAAATAGTCTGGGTAGCCATTTGATTAGATGTTCAGGAGTCTTATGGCTTGGGTGTAGAAGCTGTTTAGAAGCCTCTTGGACCTAGACTTGGCGCTCCGGTACCGCTTGCCATGCGGGAGCAGAGAGAACAGTCTATGACTAGGGTGGCTGGAGTCTTTGACAATTTTTAGGGCCTTCCTCTGACACCGCCTGGTGTAGAGGTCCTGGATGGCAGGAAGCTTTGCAGAGGACGCACTACGCTCTGGACCTCCTCCCTATAGGCTGTCTCGTCGTTATCGGTGATCAGGCCTACCACTGTTGTCATGTCGTCGGCAAACTTCATGATGGTGTTGGAGTCGTGCCTGGCCATGCAGTCATGAGTGAACAGGGAGTACAGGAGGGGACTGAGCACGCACCCCTGAGGGGCCCACGTGTTGAGGATCAGTGTGGCGGATGTGTTTTTACATACCCTTACCACCTGGGGGCGGCCCGTCAGGAAGTCCAGGATCCAGTTGCAGAGGGAGGTGTCTAGTCCCAGGGTCCTTAGCTTAGTGATGAGCTTTGAGGGCACTATGGTGTTGAATGCTGAGCTGTAGTCAATGAATAGCATTCTCACGTAGGTGTTCCTCTTGTCCAGGTGGGAAAGGGCAGTGTGGAGTGCAATAGAGATTGCATCATCTGTGGATCTGTTGGGGCGGTATGCAAATTGGAGTGGGTCTAGGGTTTCTGGGATAATGCTGTTGATGTGAGCCATGACCAGCCTTTCAAAGCACTTCATGGCTACAGACGTCAGTGCTACGGGTCGGTAGTCATTTAGGCAGGTTATCTTAGAGTCCTTGGGCACGGGGACTATGGTGGTCTGCTTGAAACATGTTGGTATTACAGACTCAGTCAGGGACATGTTGAAAATGTCAGTGAAGACACTTGCCAGTTGGTCAGCACATGCTCGGAGTACACGTCCTGGTAATCCGTCTGGCCCTGCGGCCTTGTGAATGTTGACCTGCTTAAAAGTCTTACTCACATCGGCTACGGAGAGCGTGATCACATAGTCATCCGGAACAGCTGGTGCTCTCATGCATGCTTCAGTGTTGCTTGCCTCGAAGCGAGCATAGAAGTGGTTTAGCTCGTCTGGTAGGCTTGTGTCACTGGGCAGCTCGCGGCTGTGCTTCCTTTTGGGGGCGGGCCCGGCCCCCTATGGCCCGCCCATAGCGACGGGTGTGACTTAATATAGATGGCCCTAGCTAGCAACAAGACAGTACTAGACAGCAGATGAAGACAAACATTATACTTATCACTCCTGGAGATATCTAGCTATAGAATGAAGCAGAGAGGAAGATGGAAACAATCATGTGGCCATTGCTTAGAGAACACCAGTAGTCATTGATTCCACATGGTGCTGCTTGGTGCAGTCATGCTTTGGCCAATGTATGACACTAACAGGCTGTATTAAAGGCCCAGTCAGTCAAACATGTGATATTCCTGTGTTTTATATCAATTTCCACACCGAGGTTGAAATAATACAGTGAAATTGTGAAAAGGATGATAATCCCCTCTCTTTGAAAAGACTGCCTGAAATGTCAGCCTATTTTTAGATAATAGACCAATAAGAACGAGAGTTCCAAACCTCTGCCAATGACAGAGTTCAGTTTTCCCTTTCCCACTCAGACCACTCCCAGGTAAATTCTTGCTTGAGAAATTGCTCTGCTTACCATTTTAATTGATTAAGGTACTTAATTGTTAACCAGCAATGATTTGATATGGATGAATAAATAAACGTCTGGATTGGACCTTAAACACAATTTCCTGACAAAAACAAATGTATAACTCAAAATATGACTTTTATTTTCATCAAACAGTCACATCACCTCCTTAGTCCTCCTTACTCCCTGGAACACTCAGTCCACCGTACTGTCAGGAACACTCAGTCCTCCTTACTGCCAGGAACACTCAGTCCTCCTTACTGTCAGGAACATTCAGTCCTCCTTACTGCCAGGAACACTCAGTCCTCCTTACTGTCAGGAACACTCAGTCCTCCTTACTGCCAGGAACACTCAGTCCTCCTTACTGCCAGGAACACTCAGTCCTCCTTACTGCCAGGAACACTCAGTCCTCCTTACTGTCAGGAACACTCAGTCCACCTTACTGCCAGGAACACTCAGTCCTCCTTACTGCCAGGAACACTCAGTCCTCCTTACAGCCAGGAACACTAAGACCTCCTCACTTCCAGGAAAACTCAGTCCCCCTTACATCCAGGAACACTCAGTCCTCCTTACTGTTAGGAACACTCAGTCCTCCTTACTGCCAGGAACACTCAGTCCTCCTTACTGCCAGGAACACTCAGTCCTCCTTACTACCAGAAACACATTCAGTCCTCCTTACTGTTAGGAACACTCAGTCCTCCTTACTGCCAGGAACACTCAGTCCTCCTTACTGCCAGAAACACATTCAGTCCTCCTTACTGTTAGGAACACTCAGTCCTCCTTACTGTTAGGACCACTCAGTCATCCTTACTGCCAGGAACACTCAGTCCTCATTACTGCCAGAAACACATTCAGTCCTCCTTACTGTTAGGAACACTCAGTCCGCCTTACTGCCAGAAACACATTCAGTCCTCCTTACTGTTAGGAACACTCAGTCCACCGTACTGCCAGGAACACTCAGTCTCCCTTACTGCCAGGAACACTCAGTCATCCTTACTGCCAGGAACACAATCAGTCATCCTTACTTTCAGGAACACTCAGTCCTCTTTACTGCCAGGAACACTCAGTCCTCCTTACTGCCAGAAAGACTCAATCCTCCTTACTGCCAGGAACACTCAGACCTCCTTATTTCCAGGAAAACTCAGTCTCCCTTACTGCCAGGAACACTAAGTCCTCCTTACTGTCAGGAACACTCAGTCCTCCTTACTGTTAAGAACAGTCAGACCTCCTTACTTCCAGGAAAACTCAGTCCACCTTACTGCCAGGAACACTCAGTCCTCCTTACTGCCAGGAACACATTCAGTCCTCCTTACTGTTAGGAACACTCAGTCCTCCTTACTGCCAGAAACACAATCAGTCCTCCTTACTATTAGGAACACTCAGTCCTCCTTACTGCCAGAAACACAATCAGTCCTCCTTACTATTAGGAACACTCAGTCCTCCTTACTGTTAGGAACACTAAGTCCACCTTACTGCCAGGAACACTCAGTCCTCCTTACTGCCAGGAACACTAAGTCGTCCTTACTGCCAGGAACACTCAGTCCTCCTTACTGTCAGGAACACTCAGTCCTCCTTACTGCCAGGAACACTCAGTCCTCCTTACTACCAGAAACACATTCAGTCCACCTTACTGTTAGGAACACTCAGTCCTCCTTACTGCCAGAACACTCAGTCCTCCTTACTGCCAGGAACACATTCAGTCCTCCTTACTGTTAGGAACACACAGTTCTCCTTACTGCCAGGAACACTCAGTTTCCTTACTGCCAGAAACACATTCAGTCCTCCTTACTGCCAAGAACACTCAGTCCTCCTTACTGCCAGAAACACATTCAGTCCTCCTTACTGTTAAGAACACTCAGTCCTCCCTACTGCCAGAAACACAATCAGTCCTCCTTACTATTAGGAACACTCAGTCCTCCTTACTGTTAGGAACCATAGTCCACCTTACTTGCCAGGAACACTCAGTCCTCCTTACTGCCAGGAACACTAATCGTCCTTACTAGGAACACTATCTCCTTACTGCCAGAAACACAATCAGTCCTCCTTACTGCCAGGAACACTCAGTCTCCTTACTGTAGGAACACAACCAGGAACACTCAGTACTCCTTACTGCCAGGAACACTCAGTCCCCCTTACTGCCAGGAACACTCAGTTCCCCTTACTGCCAGGAACACTCAGTCCTCCTTACTGCCAGGAACACTCAGTCCTCCTTACTACCAGAAACACATTCAGTCCTCCTTACTGTTAGGAACACTCAGTCCTCCTTACTGCCAGGAACACTCAGTCCTCCTTACTGCCAGGAACACTCAGTCCTCCTTACTGCCAGGAACACAATCAGTCATCCTTACTTTCAGGAACACTCAGTCCTCCTTACTGCCAGGAACACTCAGTCCTCCTTACTGCCAGAAATACTCAATCCTCCTTACTGCCAGAAACACATTCAGTCCTCCTTACTGTTAGGAACACTCAGTCCTCCTTACTGTCAGAAACACATTCAGTCCTCCTTACTGTTAGGAACACTCAGTCTTCCTTACTGTTAGGAACACTCAGTCCTCCTTACTGCCAGGAACACACAGTCCTCCTTACTGTTAGGAACACTCAGTCCTCCTTACTGCCAGGAACACTCAGTCCTCCTTACTGCCAGGAACACACAGTCCTCCTTACTGTTAGGAACACTCAGTCCTCCTTACTGCCAGGAACACTCAGTCCTCCTTACTGCCAGAAACACATTCAGTCCTCCTTACTGTTAGGAACATTCAGTCCTCCTTACTGCCAGAAACACATTCAGTCCTCCTTACTGTTAGGAACACTCAGTCCTCCTTACTCTCAGGAACACTCAGTCCTCCTTACTGTTAGGAACACTAAGTCCTCCTTACTGCCAGGAACACTCAGTCCTCCTTACTGTTAGGAACACTAAGTCCTCCTTACTGCCAGGAACACTCAGTCCTCCTTACTGCCAGGAACACTAAGTCCTCCTTACTGCCAGGAACACTCAGTCCTCCTTACTGCCAGGAACACTCAGTCCTCCTTACTGTTAGGAACACTCATTCCTCCTCACTGCCAGGAACACTAAGTCCTCCTTACTGCCAGGAACACTCAGTCCTCCTTACTGTTAGGAACACTAAGTCCGCCTTACTGCCAGGAACACTCAGTCCTCCTTACTGCCAGAAACACATTCATGATGTTAATAATAGCCATGTCACATGTTGTTCCTTCATCAAAACGACCAAGAACAAACATGTTTTTTCCACACCTTTCTTCCCAATAAACCCAGAGACTTTACTATAACGGCACATCATATATTTCAGATAATAACAACAGTAATATGTGGCTTGGCAGGTCCAGTGGATTATTCATCCGGTATAGGAGTGGATGTGGATATAACAGAGGCATCCAGGCGGGCTAACGCTATCCTCTTTATAGGGCACTACCTTTGATTAGAGCTCTATGGGCCCTGGTCTAAAGTATTGCACTATATAGGGAATAGGGTGCTATTTGGGATGCAACCAGGGAAACTGTCCAGCAGGGATGGGCGGAACTGGACACTACGTTCAAATTATTAAATATATTGATATGTTGTCTCAAGAGTGTGTTCAGTTCGTTTAAATGTTTTCTTGTTTTCACTTATCAAAACATACTCTGACAATAATGGCACAACTTATTGAAGAAAAGCAAATCCAGGACAGAACTCAATTTGTAATGTCTGTCTTCTGCCAGGTATTGTGTAATCATTGTGCTCGTTTATCAGGATACTTATGACAGTTTATTTTTCAAACTGATAAGGATGGGTATGTTTCATCCACTTGACAGGGGAGGTATGAGGAGAGGTTTGTTGGAGGCCATGATTCCTCCAGACCCTTACTGAAGACAGACGCTCCAGGACCAGAACCCAGCCCCACCCCCCAGGTGATCCCAGAGGTGACCCCCCAGGATGGGGCCAGCCAAGGGAGCCAGGGGGTGTCCCGGGGGGTGAAGACTGGTCCCAAAGGGATGGTGATCAGGGGGATGACCTTCTACAAATTTGACCAAATGGTGGCTGATGACGGGGAGCCAGGGGAGAATAGTAAGTTCTGACTTTTGAGATCTCAGATCTTATTGACCTCATCAGATGGACAACCTATCTATCTCTGTCTTTTCCACAAACTGCTATTTAGAATAGCTGGTCCCTGGCTATGCTGGAACAGCAGCTGTAAACAGCACATGAAAAGTCACAAGCAGCCAGGGTCATTTCCACAAAGCCTCGGAGTCACAAGCAGCCAGGGTCATTTCCACAAAGCCTCGGAGTCACAAGCAGCCAGGGTCATTTCCACAAAGCCTCGGAGTCACAAGCAGCCAGGGTCATTTCCACAAAGCCTCGGAGTCACAAGCAGCCAGGGTCATTTCCACAAATCCTCAGTCACAAGCAGCCAGGGTCATTTCCACAAATCGTCAGTCACAAGCAGCCAGGGTCATTTGACTCTTTTAATACTGTTTGTATGTGTTGCAAGAGCTGGAATTACTCCTCTTGGTGCCTTACAAGCCGTCATCTCTCCTGTTTAATATTAAACTGCCAATTTTGTCCTGATGTGTAAACTATAGTTTTTATTATTTCCTCTCCCTGACCAGTCTTTGAGTATGATACGTTCAGTGGCGATGGCCCAGTCAACCTCTTCATCGAGGAACAGCTTATCCAGCACAGAGCCCCTCAAAGAGCCAGAGGGAGGGCGGGGCCAAGAGCCGCTCGGCCAAAGAGCAGAGACCAAGTGGGAGGGGCTAGGCAGACCAGCCAATCAACAGATCCCACCCAAACACAACCCGACACTGCTGAGATGGTATCTATCGATTCAGAGCCTGTAGCAACGGTGGTTTCTAAGACGACTCCATCCCCCATAGGACATACAGCAGAGGGCCAGACATTCACCGCGACCAGGAACGCTAACATTAACTCAACCATAGTTGAGACCACTGGTCAGACGACCACTAGAGGAACTGAGAGGCCCATCCCCATGATGGTCAAACCAGCCAGCATCACTCAGACCACAGAGGGACCAGTCACTACAACAACCACTCAGGTAGCCAAGGAGACCATGAGGCAGACGACAGTCATACCGACTGACACACCTGTCATTGCCTTGGAAAGCACTGGTTTGGAATCACTCAGAGCCTTGGAAGTGAAAAACAAAAGACTATCAGAGAACATTGCAAGCACTAGTACAGTCGACAAGCTCAACACTCAAAGACCAACAATAACTACAGAGGCTTCGACCATCAACACAAAGACCACTACTGTTGGCGCGACAACTGCTGCCGTGACAATAACTCCCCAAACACCCACAACAACGGTCTTGCTAGCGACTACCACATCGCCAACGGAAAGCTCTAGGTTGACTTTGTCTCCCACAACACAGAGGCAGACCACCCCCTCCTCCACTAGACCACCAGCCACCACCACTTCTACCACCACCACCACCACCATTGGCCAGCCTCAACCTGCCAAACGCAGGTACAGCATCAGCTGGGAGGAGGAGGGGGGGACGACCCGGGAGGACCCAAAGGAACCAGGGCAACAAACATCCCTCAGGAAGCCTGGTAGGTTCTTCATATCAGTTCCTAAGGATGGCTTTTCGTTCAACATTAAAAAATACTACTAGGGTGGGATAATGTCATTTATTCATTAAGGTTTTATGATTATTTAGTTTAATCAGGTGCATCAGTGCAGGGTTAGAACCAAAATGTGGACTGTCTAGTAGTGGTTCACCAGGAGAGGGTTGTGATTGGACTGTCTAGTAGTGGTCCCCAGGAGAGGGTTGTGATTGGACTGTCTAGTAGTGGTTCACCAGGAGAGGGTTGTGATTGGACTGTCTAATAGTTGTCCCCCAGGAAAGGGTTGTGATTGGACTGTCTAGTAGTGGTCCCCAGGAGAGGGTTGTGATTGGACTGTCTAGTAGTGGTCCCCCAGGAGAGGGTTGTGATTGGACTGTCTAGTAGTGGTCCCCCAGGAGAGGGTTGTGATTGGACTGTCTAGTAGTGGTCCCCCAGGAGAGGGTCGTGATTGGACTGTCTAGTAGTGGTCCCCCAGGAGAGGGTTGTGATTGGACTGTCTAGTAGTGGTCCCTCAGGAGAGGGTTGTGATTGGACTGTCTAGTAGTGGTCCCCAGGAGAGGGTTGTGATTGGACTGTCTAGTAGTGGTTCACCAGGAGAGGGTTGTGATTGGACTGTCTAGTAGTGGTCCCCCAGGAGAGGGTTGTGATTGGACTGTCTAGTAGTGGTCCCCCAGGAGAGGGTTGTGATTGGACTGTCTAGTAGTGGTCCCCGAGGAGAGGGTTGTGATTGGACTGTCTAGTAGTGGTCCCCCAGGAGAGGGTTGTGATTGGACTGTCTAGTAGTGGTCCCCCAGGAGAGGGTTGTGATTGGACTATCTAGTAGTGGTCCCCCAGGAGAGGGTCGTGATTGGACTGTCTAGTAGTGGTCCCCCAGGAGAGGGTTGTGATTGGACTGTCTAGTAGTGGTCCCCCAGGAGAGGGTCGTGATTGGACTGTCTAGTAGTGGTCCCCCAGGAGAGGGTCGTGATTGGACTGTCTAGTAGTGGTCCCCGAGGAGAGGGTCGTGATTGGACTGTCTAGTAGTGGTCCCCGAGGAGAGGGTCGTGATTGGACTGTCTAGTAGTGGTCCCTCAGGAGAGGGTTGTGATTGGACTGTCTAGTAGTGGTCCCCGAGGAGAGGGTTGTGATTGGACTGTCTAGTAGTGGTCCCCGAGGAGAGGGTTGTGATTGGACTGTCTAGTAGTGGTCCCCGAGGAGAGGGTTGTGATTGGACTGTCTAGTAGTGGTCCCAGAGGAGAGGGTTGTGATTGGGAACACTGCTCTAACTGACAATCTGTGTATCCACAGGAGAGTGTAAGGACACTCTGGCCACCATCTCTGAGCCGGTCCTCCATAACACCTACGGCCGGAACGAGGGGGCCTGGATGAAGGATCCTCTGGCCAACAACGACAAGATCTACGTCACTAACTACTACTACGGAAACAACCTGCTGGAGTTCCGCAACATGGAGGCCTTCAAATCAGGTATCTAGCAACTTATTTATTAGTTAAGAACGCAGCAAATTTTTTCACAATCCTTCATGTTCCTTGCCTCCTCAGAGAGGAACATGTCATTAGGTTATTGTAATAGTATTATACTGAGGCCAGATTCAGATTTTTTTTTTTTATTGTTTTATTTTCAGATGATTGTGTCATTTATCTTGTTTCTGACTGTGCCCACATGTTATCTCTTTGTTTTCATTCCCCACAAGGCCGCTTCACCAACTCCTACAAGCTTTCCTACAACTGGATCGGCACGGGCCACGTGGTCTACGACGGAGCCTTCTACTACAACCGCGCCTTCTCCCGTGACATCATCAAGTTCGACCTGCGCCTGCGCTACGTGGCTGCCTGGACGATGCTGCATGACGCCGTGTTCGAGGAGGCCTCGACACCGTGGCAGTGGCGCGGTCACTCCGACATCGACTTCGCAGTGGACGAGAGCGGCCTGTGGGTCATCTACCCTGCACTGGATGATGAGGGCTTCCTGCAGGAAGTGATCGTCCTGACGCGGCTGAACCCCTCTGACCTCAGCACTCAGAGGGAGACCACTTGGAGGACAGGCCTCAGGAGGAACCACTATGGGAACTGCTTTATCGTGTGTGGCGTCCTGTACGCCGTCGACAGCTACAACGAGAAGGACGCCAACCTGTCGTACGCCTTCGACACGCACACCAACACCCAGATGATTCCCAGGATGCCCTTCACCAACAACTACACCTACACCACACAGATCGACTACAACCCCAAGGAGGGAAAGCTGTACGCCTGGGACAACGGACACCAGGTCACGTACAACATCGACTTCGCCTACGTTTACCCCCTGTAAGAGGTCGGGAAAGGTCACTTTGTTTTTGTATAAAATAATTACCTGAAATGAAAAGAGCAAAGAGATTCTATGAGTTGAAGCGGATTGTAGACCAGTCCTCCTGGCCACTCATGTCAGCCTCTATAAAGCCTATAAAGCTTGCTGTTCTGTCACTGTGTTTGTTTGTTTTGATTGACCTGACAAGTTTAAACAGTAGAGAAGCAAAACGGTTGCTGTAGTCTATAGAGCCTATGTTGTATATACTGTAATATAAACCTAAACCATTGTGAGAGAAATGAATGTACTGTAGAGGAATACAACATTGCACTCAAGACTTGGGTTTAGATGACGACAGTTTGTTCACAACCATGACAACAGCAGTGTGTTATAAACCTGTGTTTTAAAATGTCACTAGATCATTTGTTTTATACTCATTTTTATACCTACAGTGCCTTCAGAAAGTATTCATACCCCTTGACTTATTCCACATGTTGTTGTGTTACAGACTGAATTAAAAATGGATTAAATAGATTTGGTTTCTCACCCATCTACACAAGATACCCCATAATGACAAAGTGAAAACATGTTTTTAGAAATGTTTGCTAATGTATTGAAAATGAAATACAGAAATATCTAATTTACACAAGTATTCACACTGCTGAGTCAATACTTTGTAGAAGCACCTTTGGCAGCGATTACAGCTGTGAGTCTTTCTGGGTAAGTCTCTTAAGAGCTTTTCACATCTGGATTGTGCAACATTTGCCCCATTGTTCTTTTCAAAATTCTTCAACTCTGTCAAATTGGTTGTTGATAATTGCTAGACAACCGTTTTCAGGTCTCGCCATAGATTTTCAAGACGATTTAAGTCAAAACTGTAACTAGGCCATTCAGGAACATTCAATGTCATCTTGGTCAGCAACTCCAGTGTAGATTTGGTCTTGTGATTTAGGTTATTGTCCTGCTGAAAGGTTAATTAATCTCCCAGTGTCTGGTGGAAAGCAGACTGAACCAGGTTTTTGCCTGTGCTTAGCTCCATTCTGTTTCTTTTTTATCCTAAAAGCTCCCCAGTCCTTAACGATTACAAGCATACCCATAACATGATGCAGCCACCACTATGCTTGAAAATATGGAGAGTGGTACTCAGTAATGAGTTGGATTTGCCCCAAACATAACACTCAATATTCAGGACAAAAAGTGAATTGCTTTGCCATTTTTTTTTGCAATATTACTCTAGTGCCTTGTTGCAAACAGGATGCATGTTTTGGAATATTTGTATTCTGTACAGACTTCCTTCTTCTCACTCTGTCAATTTGGTTAATATTGTGGAGCAAGTACAATGTTGTTGATCCATCCTCATTTCACCTACCACAGCCATTCAATTCTGAAACTGTTGTAAAGTCACCATTGGCCTCATGGTGAAATCCCTGAGCGGTTTCCTTCCTCTCCAGCAACTGAGTTAGGAAGGACGCCTGTATCTTTGTAGTGACTGGGTGTATTGATACACCATCCAAAATGTAATTAAAAACTTCACCATGCTCAAAGGGATATTCAATGTCTGCTTTTTTTTTTTACCCATCTACCAATAGGTGCCCTTCTTTGCGAGGAATTGGAAAACCTCCCTGGTCTTTGTGTTTGAATTACTGTTTGAAATGTATTGCTCGACTGAGGGACCTTACAGAAAATTGTATGTGTGGGCTACAGAGATGAGGTAGTCATTCAAAAATCATGTTAAACACTATTATTGCACACAGAGTGAGTCCATGCAACTTATTATGTGACTTGTTAAGCAAATGTTTACTCCTGAACTTATTTAGGCTTGCCATAACAAGGGGGTTGAATACTTATTGACTCAAGACATTTCAGCTTTTCATTTTTATTTTTATTTGTAACAATCTAAAAAAAACTGTCTGTAACACAACAAAATGTGGAAAATGTAAAAGGGTGTGAATACTTTCTGAAGGCACTGAGTGTATAAAACATTAGGAACACCTTCCTAATATTGAGTTGCACCCCCCTTTTGCCCTCAGAACAGCTCAATTCGTCAGGCATGGACTCTACAAGGTGTCGAAAGCATTCCACATGGATGCTGGCCCATGTTGACTACAATGCTTACTACAGTTGTGTCAAGTTGGCTGGATGCCCTTTGGGTGGTGGACCATTCTTGATACACACGGAAAACTGTTGAGCGTGAAAAACCCAGCAGCGTTGCAGTTCTTGACACACTCCAACCGGTGTGCCTGGCACATACCCCGTTAAAAGGCACTTAAATATTTTGTCTTGCCCATTCACCCTCTGAATGGCACACATACACAATCCATGTCTCAATTATCTCAAGGCTTAAAAATCCTTCTTCAACCTGTCTCCTCCCCTTCATTGACACTGATTGAAGTGGATTTAACAAGTGACATCAATAATGGATAATACCTTTCACCTGGATTCACCTGGTCAGTCTACGTCATGGAAAGAGCAGGTGTTCTTAATGTTTTGTCCACACAGTGTATATTTACAGTACCTTTATTCTTTGAATCTCTGTACATATACCTTACTTACCACACATAGCAGTTTCCCTTAGTCTTGTGGAATGCACTTATTCCTTTCCTGTCAGATTGTAGAGACTGCAATAAAGAAGTGAAACTACACTAAAAAGAATCTCTGTTGTAGGTTTTTTAATTTCTAGTTGAAGTCCAAGTGGCCATAATTAGCTCATGTAAGCAGCAATCTAATCTGAACTGTCAGGATGGAAAATGACCGGCTAAAACGGAAACAGCAGACATGTCTCGAGACCCACAAGTCTACAAAGTGCAGAAGGAAGGAGCATTTCACTGTAATCTCCCTGGTCTCTGATTTAAATCCATTGAGTTACTGTAACACACAGCACCAACAGAGCTCAATCTAAAGACGACCCATTTTAAACCTTTATTTCTCCGAAATTCAATTTCTGGAGTGACCTGAGAAGTAAACGGTCTAGACACATCCCCCATGCACACATAGACACACACACATCCCCCATGCACACAGACACACACACATCCCCCATGCACACAGACACACACACATCCCCCATGCACATAGACACACACACATCCCCCACGCACACAGACACACACACATCCCCCACACACACATAGACACACGCACATAGACACACACACATCCCCCACGCACACATAGACACACACACATCCCCCACGCACACACACATCCCCCACGCACACATAGACACACACACATCCCCCACGCACACATAGACACACACACATCCCCCACACACACATCCCCCACGCACACATAGACACACACACATCCCCCACGCACACAGACACACACACATCCCCCACACACACATCCCCCACGCACACATAGACACACACACATCCCCCACGCACACACAGACACACACATCCCCCATGCACACATAGACACACACACATCCCCCATGCACAGACACACACACATCCCCCATGCACACATAGACACACACACATCCCCCACGCACACAGACACACACACACATCCCCCACGCACACAGACACACACACATCCCCCATGCACACATAGACACACACACATCCCCCACGCACACATAGACACACACACATCCAAAGTTTAATCTGGTGTTTTATTTACTTTAGCAATATTATACAAAAATCTTCATCAGGTGGAAACTGTCATCATGTTCCTCTTAGCTCCCTGAATAATCATGGGTACATAGTCAAAATGACATTACTCTGAATAAAATGAGTCTTTCAAGCAAATAAATGCACAATATAAACGGCTGGTGTCATACACAGGCAGACATGAGTGCACAGAGGTTCACATTTAAAGGTTGAATTGCTGTTGCGCTAATCAGAACACTCGTTCAAACACAATGCTTACAAATTACACTAACATTCTGGGGAGAAACATCATCCTATTGCTCTCTGAAAATGAACCAGCAATCGTACAATGGATATTATAATCAGGACTCCTAGCCAGAGAACACTGAGCATGGATACACCAAACTGAACAAGTCACAATAGTATTACAAATAAAAACTATTTTAACGTTATCAAATGTATGCAGTTGGGTAGTTAACAAATGAGTGAATCAAGATCCGGATGTTTGAGACAGGCAGGTTGCCTAGCGATGGTGCAAATCTATTTTATGTTTAAAACCAAAATAATTATGCACCATCATTTCACAAAGTGTTCTGTACCACCTCATTCTTATTTCTTTAAAAAACGCTAATTTTCAGTAAGCTAAATATTATAATACATATATGTCATTTAGCAGCCACTTTTATCCAAAGCAACTTACGGTCATGTGTGCATACATATATTCTGAGCACAGGGATCCTTCTGCCAACAGAAAAGTTTTATTTTTGTTTAAGTGCACTTCAATTAAAGTGCAATCAGGCCAAGTGGACAGACGGGTTACGGTTAACATCTCAGGTCACTATGACAACTGACATGGGGTCAACATGACTTCCTCTTTACTCACTAGGTCTACGTCTGCCAAAACGCTGCTCCTTGACAACCTGTTGAATCAAACATTTTTTTTTTTTAAACGGTTAGATTTTTCAAAGATAAGCAATAAGACTGTGACACATTGTGATATTTCATAGAGATCATTTCTGATCTCATTTCTGATATTTCAGATGCTAACAGTCCATTCATCAATTTGTAAGTATGTTTTCTATTTGTCCATGGAAATTCAAAGTCCCGGAGCTTATATCAAGAGAACAATGAACTTCAAATAGCCAACACCATTCTACATACACTAATATCCCCACTCTCTAAATGAAACCTCAAACTAGTCACTCTATACAGTGTGATTTACCCCCAAATTGAACATATTTGGGGAATAGTAACTTTCCCATAAAAAAAAAAAAAAAAAAAAAATCATTCCAATTTATTTTTATATATATATATATATTTTTTGTAGTCATTTAGCAGACGCTCTTATCCAGAGCGACTTACAGGAGCAATTAGGGTTAAGTGCCTTGCTCAAGGGCACATCGACAGATTTTTCACCTAGTCGGC